AGCGTACTTTTTTGTGCGCAATAAATATACAGTTTTTTCAATGGGTGGCACTGTAGCTCTCCGGTCTATCAATATATATTTTTTTCGGAGAGCTACAGTTCTGCAGCTAATTGATACCGGTAGTTTAGACGAGAATACATACGAAAACCAGCAATTCATTTTACTGCTAATTTTCTTAATTACAATAATCACAAATGGTTATTATTTAAGCCTAGATAAAAGACATTACATTTTTTTCTTCATCGTATTTGTCATTGCATTTTTAGAAAAAAAAGTCTGGATAGTATAAAGAAAAACATGTCATACTAGTATTATAAAACAATTAATAAGCTTCTTAGAAAAACTAAACGTAGCAATCTATTCTTTCTGATCAATGTTATTTAATATTTTTTCTAAACGTTCCCTATGATGCATCTTCAGTAATTTCGTACAGTTTTATTTTCTAAACTCTCATGTGTTAATATTGTAATGTTATCATGAGCATTATACATGTACATTGCAAAATAAATAACGTTAATAATATCACGATTCACGATTTTAGATACTAAGGAGATCATATTTCATGGGATGATAATTAAACATCGTTATACTAAGGAGATCATATTTCATGGGATGATAATTAAAAATCGTTACTGCATGGTACCACATGATTAATATTGAAATAATAAATTAAGTCTCATTTGAAGGTTTTCAAAAATTAAGCTTTATCATCAATTATATTTATCCATCTGATCAAAAATAATGTAAATGTCTGACATTTATGCACTGTAGAGCAGTAATTTATCTAATGTATTCCTTGATTTCAGATACCAAGTATTCATTTTATTAGTAGGAATGATCAGATGGTAGTTTATGGAACATGTCACTACGGCATTGACATTTCTAAAAGTACGAACTCAAAAGAAAATAAATGATACAATATTTGTGTGAACTATTGGACAGCTAAAATTGCCATTCAAAAAGAACATACAAAGAGTAAAAGGCTGGCATACAATGTAAAAAATATATAAATAATCATGTAACATTAACATAGATTATTATCTTTATGCATATCTACCTAAACATGCATGCACGTACATGGGACCTCACGATATTGAAAAATCATTATCTCAGTTAGAAAATCTCATTCATTTGTAGAATATTTTTAATTCTGTATTAGAACGAGTAGGACAGGAACTTTAAATTTATGGATGAACATTTGCTTAACACATTGAAAATTGAAAGTCAGTTGTTCTTAAATTATTTACTTACAAGCTTAAGGGATGAACAAAAAGTTCGCGAACTATATCAGTTTCTACATAACCACACAATACCATCAGAGAGAAAATTGACACAATGTAGGTCTTTGACATGTTCTATCTATGTGTATCGTTTATTCAACACAGTCATTAGAGTCATTTGTTATCACTTCATCGCCCATTTGTTTAAGATAAAATTAGGGTTATACATATCACCATAGATATTAAGTAATAGAACATAGCTATAGATATTATTTTATCCTAATATTACAAGTTATCTCACTGGTGTTCTTACAATTCAGAGATAATTGTATTTCCATGCACATAAAGAAATATGAAGTCCATTTTTGTTGCAAAAGTTAAACACTGTCCAGTAAAAGAAAAGATCACATACGAGGGCCGTTCAAAAATTACGCGGACTTGTTGCACAGAAAAAAATATTTGACGACATAATCGGGCAAAATGTCACACATAATATAAAAGAATCTTTACTAATATGGTCTTCAAAATTTAATATCAAAATGTTGTAAATTGGTATTAATTTTGAGTGATTTTTCATGACATATCATTAAGTCACGGAGCAGCAAAATCTTCGACGTCACAGGCATTATAAAAAATATGTGATTGAGCTTTCATTTTCTCAACATTTTCGAAAGAGTACCTGTACAGTTTGAGTTACCTTATCTACTCAACATCCAAACACCATTTCTTGTCAAGCTTAAAATCTATTAAACAAGTAAAGAATATTCTTTTTTTTTTGTTTTAAAACCAAAAATTGCAGGTATTTATGAGATATAGCGTGACATTGGTCACTCTCAATCACGTTCTTTACAGTCCGGACAAAGTTTTCGTCGATAATCTTCTTCCCGTCCTCCCGTATAGCTTTTTTACAGAGGTCTAACGGTCTAAAATTTCAATAAGCTACTTTTGGAGGAATGTCACGAATAACCTAGTTTACTACAAGTTTTATTATGCATATTTTGGATCTATATTGGCGATATCTCGAGCATTACACGCAATTTAACAAAAGTGTGGTGCGCCGTCAATTCAGGAGACGTCATTTATACAGTCGTTTTCACGGGAATCGCATCAGAGAAAAATCACTTTATTTCTGTTAGTACTTCAAATATCATGTCAGAAATTTCAATACAAAATAACAGAACAATTTAAAGATACATTTGAGAAAATTGTCGAAAAATATTGCGAATTATAGAAAATTATTGAGTTAAATTTTGGATTCCGCATGCTTTTGCTTCAAGTTTTTTGTCGTGCTCCGTACCTCTCCATCAGCGATATCAATATACCGATAATTTTAGTAGAATTTTTCTAATATACAGAAATTTTGCCCCAAATTTATTGAAATCTTTACGGTACATATTTCTGTGAAATTTCATAACTATATGACGTCTATAAGAGTAAATAATAGCACAGTCCGCGTAATTTTTGAACGGCCCTCGTATAAATGACACTTAGAAGAAATATGCAGTAAAAAAGATTACTGACATTGTAGAGTACCAATTATGTCAATTAGAAATGCAAATCGTATACAGGTCAAAGCCAGGTCCTCTGAAAACACTAAAGATGGAATCAAGTGCCTTAGAGAAGTAAGCATCCCTTGGTGACCGGTCAAACTGTCATACATTGCAAGTCCTCTGATCAGGAAAACAGACTAATCCGTTTCTTAACTGATATAAAAGCAATGACCAAATCGGCAGGAAACAAATAAGAAGAATCAAGCAGCTGATAATTTGTAATTACGAGGATACATGTAACTGAGAAATACAACAAGGTAGTCTACTTCTGCATACACCATGGTGTTATTGTTAGTTAATAATATAAAGCATGAACTTCATTTATTAAGTATGGAGATAACGAACAGAAATGAAGCTTAGAAGATATGTAGTCTTTTGAAATCTCAATCAGCTCTCTTTCGGTCGTTCTGAACAATAAAAATGCAAAATATACATACGAGGGTTGTCCGTGAAGTTCGTGGACAAGATAAGAATTTTTAAAAAGTTGTGTCATTGATATTTATTATTAGCATATTTCAAATCCTTTACTAAATGTGAATCGAAAAATGTAAAAGTTTTTAAAAAGTGTCATACTGTGCATTTTGAGGTAATCGGGTGTAACAGACTGTAAATTTTACAATTTAGTATTTCTTGTTTCTAGTTAACTCGAAATTCACAATATGACAGAAGCACCTACAGAAGGGCAATGATCTGTCTAACCACTGCAGGCGTCGATCTGGCTATTTCTTCTAGCGTTTATCTTATATATTTAGAAACATCTCATTTCTTCATAGTCATTTATTTTTATTTAGCATAAGTATGTAGAAATTCTTTAGTTATACCTTCATTTGTGGACGATGTACGAGGGTTGTCCGTAAAGTTCGTGGACAAGCTAAGAATTAAATAAAAGTTGCGTCATTGATATTTATTTTTAGCGTATTTCTAATCCTTTACTAAATATGAATTGAAAAATGTAAAATCTTATTCAATTTCACATGTTTAATTACAATTATGACTTCATAATTAGACTTGGAATGGAGACTCTGAGCACTGCAAATTTTTAATTAAGAAATTATTTATCACTTTTTAAATTTCATTTGTATTTTATAAAATTCTGCGGAAATCTTGCCGACTTTCACATTATGAGGTTGACAGAAGTGATCACATCAAACCTGCAAAATTTGATCGTTCAAAGTTGTAAAATGGCTGAGCAATCAAAGTTTGATCTTATTAATACGGATCGGAATTATTAAAAAAAAAAGACCAATACATTTTGTAAACAATCGTGAAAACATATTAAAAGAAGCCGTATATTAGTATTTAAGTGGTTTATAGGATGACATGCGTGAAGGAAAACCATCATTCTGAGATTGCAGTGCTGTAAAAAAAGAATTTTGTAACATGACTTTACCGTATTTTCGTAAATAAATTCGTTTTTACGCGGACAGGGGTTGGATGATTGCAGGATATGAGACAGGCATTGTTAAATATTATTTTACGTATGAAACCTGAACATTTTGTTCACATATCTATGACTGGTTAAAGCGACATAAAAATGCATTGAGTTAAACGATGACTATTTTGAGAAGTTACATGTACTCGTATTATGCTTTTGACGTCGGGTTACGTCAAGAATTTTTATTTAAGTGCTCCGGGTATGAGTGTGTGTCTTTTTTTAATCTGATAAAAATAGAACTATTTGTGCTTTGCTTTTGTTGAAAACTTGCATGTTAATAAAATGAAATATGAATTGAATGAATATAATAGTTTTATATTTTTTATCAATGTTTGTCAGTAATTATCAAATGAATGTTGTCCACGAACTTTATGGACAACCCCCGTACATGTATTAGGTAAGATAGGGATGCATAGAACTTAGATGGGTAAGATATTAGCAATGATGTAAATAAGTACGTTTCATTTTTAAATAATTTTAGTCATAACAAATGACTAACAATATCAATACTTAAGTGATTCATTTTTATTGTACATGATTTTTTTATCACATGCATTTGTTTACATGATGCATATGCTGCGCATGGTTCGTAGAAAATACAGAACACTTCTTTAGGTGATTCTCAAAATCATCTTCGTCGTTCGAAAATATGCGCCTTCTTAATTAATATAAGTCCCCTATGAAACCGGAATTAGTACCGATGTTCTCTTCTTTTCCGTTGGATTTCTTCCAGTGAAGAAACATTTCCATCTGTAAAGGTATAGATTGATTTTTTATATTAATTTGAAAATGTATTCAAGATCCTACTGGAATTATAATGTCACATTTTGTGATAGCTTTTAATGATGTTTTAACTTTGTGCATCAATTTGAAGTATTTGGACTGTAATTTGGGATTGGATATTAGGTCTTCAGGACAAAGCCAGTTATCAGCATCCTTCATCACGTATCCACAGTTAAAAAGTATTTTTACAATTTTAGTACAGTCATTATGTTCTCCTGTTGCAACAAGGTGGAGGGCAGATTGACCAAGGTTGTCCACAACGTTGACGTCACTTCCGTGTTTGATCAAATATTCTGCAATTTTGAAATTACCATCATGCAGAGCTATCAGCAAGGGTGTTTTTCCAGAGTTGTCTTTCATGTTTACATCAGCACCTGAAAAAGAAGTTTCAATGAAGACACTTATTCAACGAAATTGTATCAATGAACTTATTAATTTTTTTATCATATTGTTTACACTTTCAGTTTAGGCTAAAAAAAAAAACTACCTGACTGAATTAACTTTTTCACCATGTCCACATCGTTCATTTCAATTGCAACCATTAGAGCAGTTTTACCATCGTCATTTGTCATATTGACGTCAGCGAAGGGAAGGAGAGCCTTAAGAGTATTCATATCACCATTAACGATTGGCATAAATAACAGAGGTTCTCCATTTTCATCCAGAACGTTAACATTGGCTCCAGACTTAAGTAATTTCTGGAGTGCAATGATATCACCTCTTAATATTGTTTCCATTAGAGATATGTTGGAAGTAAAAACATTCATTCTGTTTTAATATCTATCTATGTTTGAGAATACTTTGCTGACACACATCGTTCAGCAGCGCTTTTATAGGATTCAACTATATACATTAACATAACAACATGTTTTAAAAGATATTCTCTGATTTCTATTGGTCAACAGAACAATGTTAATTACTGAGACATAATATGATTTGCTGCATTTTTTTTCTTCGATAGACCACAATTAGATAAATGTATTTAACATTTTTCCTTGACTTGTCGAACAAGAATAAGTTTTTTGACACATTAAATGGGACAAAAAAATGAGCTTCACCATCCAGCGAAGCGATTCATATTAAAAACATAAAAAGAAATGAGTAATACATGACGGAAAGTTTATTGAAGTTTTTAGTTTTAGTTACTAATTATTTACACGGAATAGGTCGAGGATATTCTTTTTGTTTACTTTTTCTCAAGTTGATAGATATTTTTGGCCAATGATTTGTGGAATGTTTTAAGTGATTTGCATATAAAAAGTTTGGTTGAACGTAAAGAACGTTACCAGTTGAAGGACGTATACAAAGAATTACTTATGCAATGTTACTTTTTTTCCAGTCAAATCTTTAATTTGCATCTACTGTAACTTTTTTTTTTCGTGCCAGCATCTACTGCAACAAGATTATTGGTATATGTCAGGAGTATTTGTATTCAAATATTAAAATATGGAGATAACAAACAGTATTCAAGCTCAAAAGTGCATAAAACAATACAAAATAGGAAGGGAGCAAACACGGGCCTCCAAAACTTCAAAGGTGGGATGAGGTGCCATCCAAACTAAGTGTTCAACAATTTTTTATGAAACATCTTAATTGACTTCTGGGATTTCATTCTACATGATCAATACATAGACCTAGTGGGGGTGGTGACTGCTATTAGGGATAACTACTACTCCTAAGCTTCTGATATCACCTCATAAATCTAGCACTCAAATATAACAGAATACCTTCAGGATAGTAAATAAGTTTATTTTATCGATAGATAAGAGATTAAATGGCTTGTTAAATGCTTTAAACATTTTGGTTCTATTAATTTAAGGAACAATGGGTAATATTAGTATATGAGTGCAGTTTATAATAATAAATAACATTATATAGTAAAAATGTTTTATATATTATATAAATGAAGAATATTAAATGAATATAGTTATTATATTATTATTATAGTTATTAAACGTATATAGTTATGCATAAATAGTACTTTATTACATGTTTATAGTTTTTGACACATTATTTTTATATACATATGTACATATTTGTTTCATACTAGTATTTGGATATTTCACTTGAAAAAGACGCTAACAAGCTCTATAAACGTAATGACTTTAACTTTTCTATCGTCAACTTCCCTTACTTATGCAGCAATATACCTTCATTACCTGCATACGGAGTTTATTTGTCTTCGATAAGCAAGAGCATGCTTCACGAATGAACAATTTCTTAAACGAGGTAAATTATTGACAAAAATGCTGATAAAACAAGAATTTCAGCAGTCTCGTTTAAAGTCATTATTTCGTAAGTTCTATGGTCGATACAATGACCTTGTCAACAAATACATTGAGTCAAATGTTAACTGACGTTTTTCATACTTATTGTTAGGCCATTATATATACACTGAATTGACGATCGCTTTTTCCCAATCATGACAAGGAGCACAAGGTGGGTGTGACCGGTCGGCAGGGGAGCTCACTCTTACATGACACCCGATCCCACCACTGATGTTCTTGAGATCCTGTTTGCTCTGCTCCTATCTTGTATTGTTTTGTGGACTTTTGATCTTCCATACTCTTCGTTATCTCCAAATATTTTATTATATGATTAAAACTAATATAATATCTTCAACACAGTTTTTTTTTTCTTATCTTAGGAAAAGATAAAGCAATCAATAAGTTTACTTTTCATTATCAATTTCAGTACCCTCACTGGTAGGCAATTGGCACCTCTGATAGATCGATACAATGTTTTATATTATTGTTACATGGAAGAACTCTAATTTCCGCCTCAATTCTTATAAACTTTACAAGCCCATAACTCGCGTAAACTATATAAGCAGTTTTCTGAATTTGACAATAATGAAATCGCTTTACTTTCTGATGCTTACACTCTAAAACAATAGTATATTACCCAAAACTTTTGATTATTAGTTAAACCCATCAGAAAAATGTAGTGTTAACTGAGGAGGGACTCAACTGAATTCCTATTTTCATTGCTTTCTTTGTATGAAATTTTTAAAAATATTTTTAAATAGGCAATCACAGGGTACGTTTTTAGAAATAAGTGTCATTGTTGTTTTTTCTATCATTATTTTTCTTTTTAGGTACATTTGTCCAGTAAAAATATTTAAAATATAATAAATCATATTTCTGTCACTTCATAAAGTACAAAACTGAGGTTTGATCATTATTATCTCATTTTTTTCTCTTCTTCTACGAGAAACAATTAAAAAGATAGCAAGTATGAAAACTAAAAGAAATTTATTTACGACAAACTCAGTAATCAAATGCAACACAGATTTACTATGCCCTCTGTATTTTTTCCATCGCAAAAATAAAATTTTTGTTTTGAAAGGCAGATGGCTCATCTGGTTGGCTGATACTTAAACAAAATCTAAAGTGAAACTTATTTTTTACGCTAAACATTTTATGTGTCGGGGGACCACAACTGAATGAATCCTTGTAAAAAGTTTCCTTTGTATGTCAATCAAATGAGTTTTCTTCCTTGCATGAACAAGATAAATTATGCTAATGAGCATGAAAAATATTTAATTATATTTTGAATTTCTCATTAGTAAAATAATTATCTGATACATTGTAATATACAATAATAATGTGATTCTCATCTCATTTCTTGCAAAAGTTATATAATGTAATATATCCATAACATGAAGAGCTATTTTAAGGTAAACATAGTCTAAATTAAACATTTTTTTAAAAAACAAAGAGATAGGTAATATAATGAGCCTTATACATTGAAATTAGTCATTAATAATATTGAGTGATGGTTGGTCAATTAGTTTTTGTAGCATACAACGTGGTATACTCAAATTAATAAAGAAAATGAATCTGTCATGTCAGTTTCGATTGTGTATTTAAAAGCTTCATTTAAAAACTTACAATGCTTAAAAACGAAATGTAAAACTGCAAAAATTTATTAATTTATTTTTCAAATATTAACACGTATAAATGAATTTTTTTTTAATGACAAATCCTTGTCTGAATTTTAAATATTCTATTACCTCAGTTACTGGAATAATTCTTCACTTATGAAGACTGACTTATTTTTAATTGGAATTATAAAAAAAAAATCTATTCAAAACTGAAGATAAAAAAATATATGAATCTGTATTATTTCTGGTGGCTCCTGAAAAAGAATATAAAAATCTTAAGTTCATTTTCTTTTCAATATTTTTGCTTATTATCAAAATTGTATATTGCAGATTTCCTGTTCTAAATTCATATTAAATTTTCCCCAATTTCTTTTTTCCTTTTAATTTTTTTATTCAATTAGCAAAATTGTTTATTGCATTTTCATATTCTAGATATAATCAGTCTGAATGTTAGACCTAAAATAATAATAATTTCGTAAAAATTCTGCATTATATGCTGACAATTTCTCCATGTATTTCTTATTGATTTATTATTAAACTAATTTAAAGGTTTTTTTTTAATTAATCTATCGTCAATTCTCCATATTTATTGAAAATATACCACTTTCATTTTCGTTTGATGTTAAAATGCTAAATTATAATATAATTGAATGCTAATTATTTTTGCAAAAGTGGCCAGATTTTTGAAGTCAAATCAAAATTTCTTAACCTTTTACTTGTGCTTGAAAGTTGAATTTCAGGACTCTTAGAGCTTGTAGTTTAGCCGTAAAAGGAAGCTTAACTCCAGCACGTCCAATCTTGAAAATAAATGCCATGAGTTACAGTTCTTGCAATAAAGAATCGGAGGGAAAAACTAAATTCTAGATTTAATTCATGCTGGCCATGTAATTTCCTATATAATTTTTGGAAAAAATGTATTTTAAAATTCAATTTCCCTTATTTATGCAGCAATACAAATTTCATCACCTGCATATGCATATGGGGTTTATATCTCTCAGCTATTTCACTACCAAAGAGCATGTTCTACGTATGAACAATTTTAAAAAGAGGAAAGTTACTGACAAACCAGTTTAAGGAACAAAAATATCAACAGTCTCGTTTTAACTTATCATATCTCAAGTTCTTTGTTTCTTTCGATACAATAATCTTGTAAGCAAAACTTTTAATCAATAAGTCAAATGCTGATTGACGTTGTTCATAATTTATTGTTAGGCCAGTATGTACACACAGAGTTGTCGACAGAATTTTTTTTATTTCCCGATCATGACAAGGAGCATACGGCGGGTGTGACCGGTCGGCAGAGAATAGTCATTCCTCCATGGCACTTGTTCACACTTCTGATATTTTGGAGGTCCGTGATTGCTCTGCTCCAATTTTGAATTGTTTAAGGGAATTTTGAGCTTGAAAATTCTTTATTACCTCCATTTATTTCATTTCATAAAGTTGTTTCACTGCACCACAATTAAATTTCAGACCTTCAATTCACAACAGAATACCGGATGATACGAATGCCAATAGCATATCCTATTCATGCCGAATTGCTCGGAAACAGAAAAAGTTTATCTTTTTAATCAATGTGCAAGCTATCTTTTCTCACAAGTATCAATAGGTCAACCACATGACGCAGTGAAATGAGCGTCTGCTCTAGAATCGTGGAGTAAGTATGTGATCCTTACGTCTCGGGTTCGATTCCCATTGTAGGACATGGTGACCGGTCCATCATTTGAGACCGTATAATCCGAGGTCCCGTGTTGAAGGAGCAGTTGGTACGAAAAAGATCACTGCTAATTAATGGCTCTGAGTACCAAGCATAGGACAACATTTTTAGCTATCCACGGGCAAGTGGTGGCGTCACCATATGATCAGTGAATAATTTTCGCG